ATATATATATATATATATATATGTATATATATATAATATATATATATATATATATATTTTTTTTTTTTTTTTTTTTTTTAATACCTTCGCATAACCGATCGCGACGATTTTGGTAGTGAAGGGCATGAAATGTACCAGGGAAATTGCGGGGTAATATATGAATAGCATGCACAGAATCTGTCACAATTTATCTAATGCAAGGCTAATGGCCCTTGCAACCCCCCTCCTAGGCCTCCTAAGGGACTGCCCGCCCCTCAACCCCCATAATGTAAGACAAAGCATCCTCCATGTATTCACAGCCAAGGTCTACCTAACTTGTATAGACATTGTTCAGGAGAGAGCGGGAGCGCCCGATGCTGAGTCTATTCGACGCTGTCTCCTGTGGTGAATACGTGGAGAATTCTGTTTTCCTGGGCGGGGGTTGGTGGGTGGCAACCCTCATGGGGAATCGCAGAGGGCACAGCCCCCTGCATTCGACTATATAGTGACAGATTTTGTGTATATTATCCCTATTTTGGCCCGCAGTGTCCCTGGTAACTTCCATGGCCTCCCCTGTTAACGAGGCCAAAAATGTGGGGTCTGGGCTGTTTCGCGGCATAATTTCTACTTATATGTGTACTAGAGGGTGAGAAGAATCCATCGGTACTAAGTCGTCGCGATCGGTTATGCGAAAGGATTGTGAAAAAATACACGACTTTGTTTTTGATAGATGATTTTTTTGAAATCTTATTTTGGGTGTCTACTTTTATTACAGGGCCTTCTGATGCAAAGGAAACTATCCTGTGCCTCCACGGCGAGCCAAGTTGGTCCTTCCTCTATCGGCATATGATCCCTGTGTTCACAAAGGAAGGATATCGCGTCATTGCGCCGGACTTCATAGGTTTTGGAAAATCCGATAAGTTTACGTATCCCGACGCATACAATCACGATTTGCATAGAATGACTTTGCGTTTACTCTTGGATAATCTTGGAGTGAGTAATGTGACACTCGTGTGCCAGGACTGGGGAGGCATAACAGGTCTTTCCGTCGTGAAAGACTCCCCGCATTTCTTCTCCAGGTTAGTTGTGATGAATACAGGTCTGCCGGCAGGGACTCAACTCTCGCTATCCACGATTGCCAGGATTACTCCTTTCCTTTTGTGGCGTAGCTTGGCGCAGCTTTTTGGCACGGCTCTCCCTGTCTACCATGTATTCAAGAAGGCCGTACGGAATGCCCAGCCCGCGGTGTTGGAAGGTTACAGCGCGCCATTCCCATCCTCAGAATACAAAGCGGGGGCTGCCAAGTGGCCTCTTTTAGTTCCTCTAACTTCGAACACGCCGGTGGCAGTCGACATGCAGGAGACACGTGACTTTCTGAGGCAGAAATGGAAATCTCCTTTTCTAATTATGTTCTCAGACCGAGATCCAATTACAAGAGGACAAGACAAAACTTTCCTCAAGCTTCAACCACACGCCACGTGTAAAACAGTCCATGGCGCGGGGCATTTTCTTCAAGAAGACAAAGGGGAAGAAATTGCGTCACATATTGTTAGTTTTATTAATGGGAAACTTTAATATGAATATGTTATAAATTTGATTTGTTCTAACGGCCTACATTGTAGCATTCGTATGTGTTTACATATATATATATATATATATATATATATATATATATATATATATATATATATATATATATATATATATATTATATATATATATATATATATATATATATATATATATATAATATATATATATATATATATATATATATAATATATATATATATATTATTATATATATTATATATATATATATATATATATATATATATATATATTATATTATATATTATATATATATATATATATATATATATATATATATATATATATATATATACATTTATTATATATATATATATATATATATATATATATATATATATATACATATATGTATATGTATATATATACAGTATATTGCATTTATGTATATATTTGTTGTTATTGGCTTTGAATACAATATATTCCATATATTTGTGTATCATCTTTCTCGTGCATTTTCGATCTTTTAAAAAGTATTCACCGGGACACGCAATTAAGATGCGAATACTAAAAACAACAATAAAGCATCCACAAGCTATGTTATGTGATATGGGATTGTTCTCATATACTGTGGAGATACTCAAGAACCTACTTAATTCAAAATAATTTATATTTTACAAGTAAAAGTTATCCAGTCCATAATGGCATTCCAATCTTAGACAAGTATGACTGATTTGAAACGAGTTTGGAAAATCGTGGAACAGGATTATGTGCTTGGAAGTGACATAGCAGGGATCAGGGAAGGTGTATTTCTTATCAATATTAGATGGAATGAATTCCACGACATTCAGTGTGTTTATATTACGTACAAAAAGGCTAGCTTAAAAAAAAAAAAAAAAACATATTCAAAGACACTTCAGATACTTAATATAGAAGGCTGGCCCAGGATTTTGCATCCGTCAGCCAATGTCCATTGGCTGAAGCCGTATCCAAGCACCGTAGAGCTGCCTTATCGTAGCCTATCTTCTATGCTGGCAGCTGGCCTTTACCGGTGTCCGGAATGTCACTGAATATGAGTGGCAGTCTGATGCATCACTAGCGTGGTCATCCCTCATGATAAGGGAAAGAGAACCCTGGAACTGTAGTATTCGGAACGGCATTACACTGCAGTATCTTCAACTTCCCTCTGAGGTAGATCAAGCAATCTGTATTTTCTCTATGCAGATCCTCAATAGACGTATCCTTGTAGTTTATATCACCACAAGGCATCCTTATGAGCGGTTAAGGGCTGCATTCACGTTGAAATCGAAGAGGCATCCAACTTGGTGCTCTGTAAATCCCTTATAGTGGGGAGAGGCAACGAGATGGTGGAAGAGAACTAGGCGACCATGGTTGGGTTTCAAAATATGAATTTCTTGATCGTCGGCTCGATCATCATTATTATTATTATTATTATACCAATTTTATTATCAAGATAATAGATTATTATGATGTAGAGAGAAAGGTATGGTTTGTTTCTCTCACCCTCTCCGCTCATTTTCCACATAAAATCAAATAGATTAATGTCATTAAAATGTAACTGACTCAGAATTACATAATATATACTTTAAAGATATCTTAAATATCACGTTTTATGATTTTTATTGTTTAGTTCACCTTCCTTAAATCCGGCATAGATTATCGCATGTTTGTTAATCATATTTTAACAGTTGTAACAGCCGTAAATAAAAGAGGGCAGTATAGCGTATTTATGAATACAGAAGCAACTGCCACCATGAGACTCTAGCATCAGTCATGAAAGAAGTCTGAATTGGTACTAAGAATAGTATGTTGAAAAATATTTTTTACATATAAAGGCAAATGTAAGGACAAATAAAAACTATGTATGGCATGCACGGAACTTTATAGTTGATTTTTCAAATACAAAGACTCTTAACATAAGTGCATATTACTAATGACACATACTTAAATTACATCT